GTAGTTTTGTGGACCTCTAGCACAGAGGGAGTGACCTGGAAGGCTGAAAATGGTGGTTGAGATTTGGAACAGTGTGATAGAAACAGAAATCATGGGCATCAGAGGAAGAGAGAACAATGGTGTGAAAATTTGCAATGAAGAGTTAGTGGAGTGTAGACATATTTTCTGTTTTGGAAATTGATTATTCAGCAAATATTTATTGAGTATTTATCGGGCATTGGGCCAGACGTATGGGGTATAAAGATAATTAAGATGCCAAACCTACCCATAAACAACTCATTATTTATCAGAGTAGGGAGTTAGGCTTGTAAACATATTTATAATAAGTGTGATAAGGACTGCAAAGAGAGAATGTAGTCAGGTATTATGCGAACATGGAAGATGGAGTCTGGAAAATGGACTTCCAGGGAATGAGCTATAATTGAGAATTTCTAGGAAAGAGTGTCATTCTAAGAATTTTGGTTACACTGAAGAAGAAGAAAAAAAATTTTTTAAGGAGAAGATACAAGGAGGTATCCAGGTAGTAGAGCAACAGATTAGGGGTACCAAAGTTAAATATTAAAAGGAATTTGGAAGGGAAGTGATCTTTTGGGAAATGGAGATTCTTTTTTTTTTTTTTTTAAGATTTTATTTATTTGAGAGAGCATGCGTGGGGAGGGGCAGAGGGGTGGGAAAAAGAATCAAGTAGACTCCACACTGAGTGTGGAGCCTGATGCATGGCTTGATCCTAGGAACCTGAGATCATGACCTGAGTGGAAGTCAAGAGTTGGACACTTAACTGACTGAGCCACCCAGGCATCCCTGGGAAAGGGAGATTTGAATTAGATAAAGATGAGAGTGCAGGGTAACAGATTGGAGTGGCTTACACTTTGAGTTATAGCTATAGAATTGTAGGAATGAGGTGACAGTGAATTGGAAGAAGGTGGGAGAGGTGTAAAAGAAGACTGAAGATTGCATTTAGATTTAGGTGTAAATTTGCTGTTTCTCTACAAAGCTTTACTAGGTATATTACATGAACTTTCAAAACTACCTCAAATTACATAGAAGCAAAATTGGCCTTGTACATGCTTTTTAAATTTTTAAAAAAGCGATATAGGTCTTCTATTGTAGGATCTTGTTATCGTGAAGTATTACGTAGAAGATGTTCAGTGGTTGTGATTTGAATGGATTCTCTTCAAGTACTGGTAGACTTGAAAACTTGTAATAGGTAAGAGTAAAATAGGTTAAGTTTAATGTATTTTATCTTGTCATATTTGTCATTCTTGGAAAAAAGTTTCAATCTTTTATCATTTCTGAAGCAATGAGTGTTTTAACCATAATTGAGGAAAGGGTCTTTTAGGTAATAGGCATAGATGTAGATATAGCACACGTCTACATGTCTACATTTTCTTTTATACCATCTAAATGGATTGACAATAGGTTTTGAATGGTAAGTGAGATAAATGTTGGTAGCACTTTGTCAGTGCTAACTTTCTTCTTTATTTCTTCTCTCCCTCACCTACTTCTCCCTCCCCACTTCTCCTTACATTTTTCCTTCTCCTGCTTTTATTGCCTGTATGTACCCTGGAGACCTGTTAAAATTAACAGCCATTCCTCATCTCCACCAGTAACATTCAAAGCTAGAAAAAAAAACACCTATTAAAATAATATGCTTTGAAGTTAGTTTTTAAGGTCTAGGCGGTAGCTCAAATATTTTTAAATGAATCATTTTTTTCTTTTGTTTATGTAGTGCTGGTTAGTTAACTTTCAGTCTCATTTTTTTATTTTTTATTTTTTTAAAAAAATTTAAAGATTTTATTTATTTGAGAGAGAGAGAGCACGAGCAGGGGGGAGGGGTAGAGGGAGAGGGAGAAACAGACTCCCTGATGGGCAGGGAACCCGATGTGGGGCTCCACCCTGGGACCCTGTGATCATGACCTGAGCTGAAAAGCAGATGCTTAACCGACTGAGCCACCCAGGTGCCCTGTTGTTTGGAGATTTTAAAAGAGAAAGCAGAGTACAGTTGGGGTTCACTCCTGTGGGCTGGGGAGACTTCAAGGACTTTAAGCACAGCATTATCTTGACACTTGTTCCAGGTATTCTTGTTCAGTGGGTGGGAAATGAAAGCAAGGAAATGGAAAAATCATTAGCACCAAGTTAATGGCTAGTAGAAAAGCTAAACACTCTCCTATAGTGATAATCTTGTCACTGGGTAATTTTTCTTGGGACATTTTTTGGGGAGTGAGATGAAGGAAGAGGAATGTTTACCATCTGTTCCTAAGATACAACTTAATAAAAAAGTATGACTGAAGAGGAACGGAGTGAATGTCCTTGGAACTCTAAATTCTTACTCTGAAGAATAACTAGCCTGACTTAAAAGGAGCCCTGACCTGCAGGAACAACAGGGCAATTAATTAGCTGGTTGTGCTCCTGGGTAAAGAATCAAATGGCCAATAAGGAAATATTCAGGCTCTAGAAAGAAAGGAAATTAGGGTTTAAGCTCATCCTGGACCGCTCCCTCCAACTTAGCATATTACATGGCAGCAAACTATAGGTATTCAATAAAATAATTTAATCTGTGTTAAATGTCCTAATGGCTGGGATGAAAGGGGAAGACTTCTATTTAGGAGACTTGGAGGGTGGCTCCTGGGTGGGTTAGTTAAGTGTCGGACTCTTCTTTTTGGCTCAGGTCATGATTTCAGGGTTGTGAGTTGGAGCCCCAGGTTGGACTTTGTGCTGGGCATGGACCCTGCTTAAGATTCTTTCCCTCTGCCCTTACCCCGCTTGGCGTGCCTGTGCTCTCTTTCTCTCTCAAAAAACAAAAACAAACAAAAAAAAACAAAGGAGACTTGGAGGTATCTGGTTGTTGCTTTTCTAAAAAATTTCAAAGACCAGTTGGAAGGAGATGGTTAATTGAAATAATAAACATGGTTCAGGGGCGCCAGGGTGGCTCAGTTGGTTAAATGTCTGCCTTCGGCTTAGGTCATGATCCCAGGGTCCTGGGATTGAGTCCCACATCAGGCTCCCTACTCAGCAGGGAGTCTGTTTCTCCCTCACCCTCTGCCCTTCTCCCTCACCCCCCCACTCGTGTACGTGCGCGCTCTCTCTCAAATAAGTTCTTTTAAAAAATAAACATGGTTGAAATGGAGACGATTCATAGAAAAAACCTTCAGACCAATGGAGATAATACTTGGAGATGGAAATTTATAATTTATACTCAGTAAACATTTGTTGATTGTCCTCTTCCCTAAGGGAAATAGATGAAAAGGAGGTACATTATCTAGAGACCTCACTGAGAGCTATCACCTAGCATTTCACACCTTTTCCTCATTTCAGGAGTTTTGAGGTTGGAAGTGAGTTATCTCTTGGGGCAAGTAAAACCATATTGGAGTGAGGCATATAGACAGAAAATGAATTGAGTCTGTCAGTCTTAGAATGGCATTAATGCCAGAATTATGTAGAAAAATAACAGTTGTAGGTATATGTTTAGTATGAAAAGAACTTTGGCTTGGACTTAGGTAGTTGCATTGTAATCTTTTCCGTAAATAGTATCCATTATGTATGTCATTCAGTGCTATAAAATAATGTATAAAATTACTTAAGATTATGATAAAATGGTCTCCAATGCCACCATCCACATGTAGGGAAGTCTAGATAATGATGTAGACCACAACCTGGCCACCGAAGTGTTTTGTTTGCCTTGTACAGTATTTTAAAGGGATGGGAAATTTTACATAGAAATCTGGTTTCCCAACTCCTCTTAGAGAAAGAAAATCATACAATCTCTCAGACGTGGGCCTGCATTCTAATATGATAGTAATCAGCTGAATCTGACCCATGACGCCCCCCCCGCCCGCCCCATTCTGTATACCCTCAACTTGGCCAGTCTCCGCCATTCCTTACTGCTTTTGCACAGCCCATGTTAATTAGATTTCCCTGTTCAGCTGTACTGATGGTTGAGTTAAAAACCCCTGACCTGGCCAGCTGTTTGAGGCAGAGTATCTCAGGAGATCCATCTTACTAGTGTAGGCTACCCAAAGTGCAGTACAATGTATTTATAAGGGTTGTTAAGACAGTGAATCTTAAGGGTTCTCATCTTAGAAAAAAAATTTGTAACTATGTGAGGAGATGGATGTTAACCAAACTTATTGTAATCATTTCACAATATAGACATGTATCAAATCATTATGTTGTATACCTTAAACTAATACAGTGTTATATGTCAAGTATATCTCAATAAAACTGAAAAAAATTTTGGCTTCAGGATCCAACAAAAGTCATATTTAAATATCTCAGTTTTTATTTCTAGGTGCAATCTGCCATTACCAATGTGTTCATGAGTATTTTATTCTTTCCTGATAACTTACACAAAGAAATAGTCAAGTGCCCAAACAATCCTTATGATTTTTGCGGACATTTAAAAGCTTAAAGATATTAAAATGTACTACCTCAGTTCTGTTTCTTTGGGGGCTCTCATAGCAAGTGTTGTATTACTTGTAAGTTGAAGTAGGCAGGCAGCTATCACATTGTTCTAGGTGGTTTTTTTTTTTTAGCGTTTTCTGGCTGTAACAACAGTGTGGATATGCTGGCCTCAGAAAATGCTAACTGATCAACTTGCATTCTTAGACATGCTATTGCTTTTTTGAGTGTTAACACGTGCTCTTGACCTAAAGGATAATCAATAGCAGAGATCGTAGCTTTCTAGTACTTAGTTGGAAGAATCTCAGTAATTTTTACAAATTAGATAATTGTGTTGTTTTCTATTACATTAATATTTTGCTTACAAACAGAGCTACAAAGAAGTCATTTCTTTTCTGTATTCTCAGCCTCTTATACAAAAGTTTTGATTCAGCTGCTAAGATTGCTTGTTACATTTCATAAATTGCTAATTACAGTGTGTCTCAAACTTCCATTGTTACTCTGTATATCAAGTTGCATCTATTTACTTGACCTTTGATTAAGTTAAATGGCTGTTTTTCAACGACATGTAATAACATATTTTTCTTCTTTTTTAAAAATAGATTTGGACTGAGCAACAAATTTGAATCAGAATTCCCTTCTTCATTAACTGGAAAAGTGAGTGTCTATCATTTACTTAGGTACTATTTTTTCCTAACAAATTATAGAAATAATTATGCAAATGAGACATGTTTATTGACATTAATATTACAGTATTGTTATTTCTTAAAATTTTTCTTTAGGTAGCTCCTGAAGAATTTAAAGCCAGCATCAACAGAGTTAACAGTTGTCTTAAGAAGAACCTTCCTGTTAATGTACGTTGGCTACTTTGTGGCTGCCTTTGTTGCTGCTGCACATTAGGTTGCAGTATGTGGCCAGTTATTTGCCTCAGTAAAAGAGTAAGTTGAATTAATATATTTTAATTTAAATTTAGAAGTAAGACAAGCAAGTCTTGCATTTATCTAGTTTTTATTTTTTGTATTGAATGAGTCACACCATGCCGAATACTATAAAAAATGATCTGATCCAGTAGAGGAGTGATTAAGTAAAATTATGGCATGTCTGCATGCTGTTATATTAAATTTAATTACAAATTTAATTCATAATTTTTTATGACCTAAGAAATTACCCAAGAGTAGAATAGAATACAGCATTCTCTCTGTAAATACATTTACGGTGGTATAGCATAGTGATTGAGAATGCTGGGTTCAGGTCTACCACTTATCTCTGTGACTCTAGGCAGGTTTCCTAACCTCTGTCATCTCTAGTTGACTTATCTGTAAAATGGCACTATTCACCTACCTGCTTGAATAGGATTGTTTTAAGTATAAAATGAAATAGTGTATATAAAGCTATTAGCTAAATAGCTCAAATAACTAATAGACATTGACTAATAGCATTAGTACTAATACATAAGGTCGTACCCATAGAAGAAATAACATGGTTACAATGTTTATTTCTAGTTGATAAGATTATGGGGAATTCTGGTTTCTTTTTAAGAAATTTTTTCTTTTGTATTTTACAAATTTTCTGAGATGAGTACATAGTGATTCTGTATGGCAAATTGTTATAGATGGAACACATTACATTTTTGTTTAAGTTTTAAAAAATTATGGTAGCTATATGTATAAAAATGAAATACTTTTGAAACTGAATGAATGGTTTGTGTGGCTACATTTCATTTTGTCATCAAATAATGATAGGAAATATGGAAAAGCAAATTCTGTTTGTCCCTTGATTTCTGTTGTAAAATAAGCAATATATTACTACTGAAAAAAATTTTTAACTGATACATTTTATTCATAAGAAGAAGATAATGCCTTTGTAATAGAATTGATTTTGTAATATTTACTGTAATATTTGTAATATTTATTTTTTCTCCAAGAATCTTTCTTATTTTTTTCCCTTGTATTTCTGACCAGATCATCTTCAGACTACATATTTTTTTTTAATTTTCATTTGTCCCTTGATCCACAATTGAATTTGCAGCTCTTGGAGTTTAGATTCTCTCACTACCTCCTACTCTTCGGGCTTTTTCATTGTTTAAATGACTGCTGTCTCAGGGCACCTGGGTGGCTCAGTTGGTTAAGCATCTGCCTTTGGCTCAGGTCATGATCTTGGGGTCTGGGGATCAAACCCCGAGTTGGGCTCCCTGCTCAGTGGGGAGCCTGCTTCTCCCTCTGCCCCTCCCCTCTACTTGTGCTCGCTCTCTCTCTCTCAAGAAAATAAATAAAGTCTTTAAAAAAAAAAAATAACTGCTATATCCCACTTGGTTGGCAATTTGCTGTTATTTAACCCAAGGAATCATAAGAATTTTATTTTAGAAATCTGTGGGATCTAGTTTTTTTGAGGTTTTGAGATCTTTTGTTTTTTACCTTTTTTTTTTTTTAAGATTTATGTATTTATTTGTTTATTTAGAGAGCGAGCAGGGGGAGGGGGAGAGGGAGAGGGAGAGCAAGAATCTCAAGCAAACTCCCCACTAAGCACAGAGCCCAGTGTGGGACTCGATCCCATGACCCTGAGATCATGACCTGAGCGGAAATCAAGAGTCTGATGCTTAACCAACTGAGCCAGCCAGGCGCCCCTGTTTTTTACTTTTTAAATGAGAAAACAAGATACTGCAATGTGTGCACAGTGTAGGATTTAGAAAATACAACTCAACTTCTTACTCTTCTCCATGCATTTTTAGCAACATAAGATCATTTTTCAGATGATTTCATTAAATTCCTTTTTATTTGCGTCATAGGATAGATTGATTTTCTTAGGCTATTCTCATCTATAGTTTTGGAAAGTACGTTTCATTTAACAATGTAGTATTCAGTCTAAGGTCTCCCTTTGTATGTATATGATTTAATCTTATATGGACTTTACTATCTAGTGAGTGCAAACAAGTATGATTACAGTTTAAATAAAAAGCTGTGCATTTCCGTGTCTTGGGGATAAACTATTATATACCCATGGAGAGAGTGACACTTCATGCATGTATGAGGGTGTTAGAGACCCTCAAAAAAGTGGTGCAGTGTACGATGGGAGCAGGATCATTTAGAGCAGGGATTTTTAACTTTTTATTTGTCGTGGATCCTTTTGGTGTTCCAGGAAAGTCTGTGAACCCTCTCTTGGAATAATGTTTTATTTGTATTTTAAAAGGTTTAATGTATTTTAAATGTATGAAATGAAGAATATGAGATTATAAAGGAAACCAATTATATGAAATAACTTATCAAAGTACTAAAACTCCTCAATTAGGGGCGCCTTGGATGGCTCAGTAGGTTGAGCGTCTGCCTTCAACTCAGGTCATGATCTTAGGGTCCTGGGATCGAGCCCCACCTGGGACTCCCTGCTCATTGGGGAATGTGCTTCTCCCTCTCCTCCCTGTCCCTCTGCTCTCTCTCCATCTCTCGCTCTTTCTCAAATAAAGTCTTAAAAAGATGCCTCAAATATATTATTTATAAGTGTTTATTAATGCATACAAAATAAGATAGCAAAGAATCTATGGTAATATGATGTGATAGGAAAAATCTGATTTTTATGAGTGTTAGAGATACAGGTCCTGTTTAGTCTACCACAGTTAGTTGCATACATTCATAATCTAAGGGAACTATACCACATTTCAGTTAGAGATTAGTGAAAATAAAGATGTTTCATCCACTTTCATGGATTCCTAGAATTTTGTCTAGGTATTCCATGTTAAGATTAAGAACCCTTGATTGAGAGGTACTAGTATAAATAAAGGCTAAAACCCTGCCTGATTGTTAGCCTCTGAACCTTTCCTTTGCCCTCATTTGTGATGGTGGAATATGGTTAGAATTGTCTCAGGTATTTAAGACAAACCAGGACCAAAGGCATACCAAAGTATCAGCTCAGCATTTTCACCTTCATGACATCATTCAATAATTTGGGTAACTAGATTTTTGCCTTAATTTTGAAATCCATCTCCAACTGAGTGTCCCTTTTTATGAACTGACCTTGTTCTGGAGAGATTGTTTTTAAATCTGTATTATCATTGTTGTTCCTTCTAAATTGCCTTTCCTTTTTTAAAAAAATTGTTATAAGCTATTTTTGAAAATTATTTACTATACAGCAAAATTCACTATTTTTGGTATATAGTTTTACGATTTTTGACAAATGCATACGGTTGTGTAACTATCACCACAACCAAGATATATTACTATTCTCTCCAAAAACACACTTACTTGTGCTGTCCCTTTGTAGTTACAGTCTTTTCAGCTCTTAAACCCTGACAACCACTGATCTGTTTGCTATCCTTACAGTTTTGCCTTTTCTAGCTTGTTATATAAATGGAATTATACAGTATATGTAGCCTTTTGAATCTAGGTTTTTTCATTTAGTTAATGCATTCTAGATTCATCTATTTTGTTGCATGTATCAATAGTTTATTCCTTTTTTTTTTTTTTTTTCTGAGTAGTATTCCATTGTATGGATGTGTCATAATTTGTTTATCCACTTTCCAACTGAAGAACATTGCGTGGTTTCCAGTTTTGGTGATTTTGAATAAAGATGCTATATATGGCGGTGCCTGGATGGTTCAGTCGTTAAGCGTCTGCCTTCGGCTCAGGTCGTGGTCCCAGAGTCCTGGGATCGAGCCCTGCGTCGGGCTGCCTGCTCAGTGGGGAGTCTGCTTCTCCCTCTCCCTCTGCTGCTACTCTCCCTGCTTGTGCTCTCTCTCTCTGTCAAATAAATAAAATCTTTATTAAAAAAACGATGCAATAAATATTCACATGTATGTTTTTCTGTGAACATAAGTTTTTACTTTTAGGAGTTGGGTTGCTGGATCCTATAGTAACTGTATGGTTAATTTTATAGGAAACTTCCAGATTGTTTTCCCAAGTGGCTCTACCATTTTACATTCCAGCCAACAATATATGAGAGTGCCAGTTGTTCAAGCATGTTTGCCAGGACTTGGTATTGTTAGTTTAAGAAATTTTAGTCATTCTGATAGATGTGGGGGCATCTCATTCTGGTTTTAATTCACATTATCCTCATAACTGATGGTATTGAGCACCTTGCCATTTGTAAAACCTCTTTGTTAGAGTGTATTCAAATATTTTGCCCATTTTTAAATAGTTATTTCTTATTGTTGAGTTTTGAGAGTTCTTTATATGTTCTGAATATAAAAGTCCCTTGTCAGGTTAATAACCAAATATATTTTTCCAGTCTGTAGCTTGTCTTTTTATTTTCTTAATGTCTTTGGCAGAGCAAAATTTGATTTTGATGAAGTCTGATATATCAATTTTTAAGAAATGGATTGTGTGTTTGGTGTTATATCTAAGGATTCTTTGCCTGAAGCAAGGTCACAGACTTTTTCTCCTATGATCTCTTCTGCATTTTACTTTCAGATCTATGACCCGTTTTGAGTCAGTTTTTGTATAGGTGTGAGGCACAGGTCAGAGTTCATTTTTTTGCATAGGACTATGGGTTTTCTAGCACCATGTGTTGAAAAGACTTTTTTCTTCATTAAATTGCCATTGTACATTGACAAAAATCAGTCGACCATATTTATGTGGATCTATTTCTCTACTCTGTTCTATTGATTTCCATGTGTCTGTCTTGATTTTAATACCATATTTTATTTATTTATTTGACAGAGAGAGAGACAGCTAGAGAGGGAACACAAGCAGGGGGAGTGGGAGAGGGAGAAGCAGGCTTCCTGCTGAGCAGGGAGCCTGATGGGAGGGCTGGATCCCAGGACTCTGGGATCATGACCTGAGCTGAAGGCAGACGCTTAATGGCTGAGCCACCCTGGAGCCCTATAGTAAGTCTTGAAATCAGGTAGGGTGTATTCCAAACTTGTTCTTATTTTTCACGATGGTTTTGGCTATTCTAATTTCTTTGCCTTTCCGTGTAAATTTTAGAATCAGCATGCCAGTATTATATCTAA